GAAGTGAACTCCTCTGAGTGAGGCCAGATGTGTGGTGCCTATTGAGCAGCCCTGGGAAACTCATGTGCCCATTCCCACTGTGGAAACCTGGATTGTGGGAAAACCAGGAGCAGTAAGAAATCTGTAGCATCTGATTAGTAATAAATCAAGTTTAGAAAAAGTTGTTTTCACAAAGTAACCTTTAATATAATAAAGTTTCAGGAAATGCTGCAATTTCTTAAATGAACATAAAATATTTAAAAACCTCCATTCTGATCTTTTTTTTATTTCAGAATTTGATGTCAATATTTTAGAAGTTCCTCTTTGATCAGAAAAGTTTTCCTAAATTGCCCATAGAAAGAAAAGAACAGACAGCATTTCTAAGTCCAAGGCAGACTCTCAAGGTCCTTTGGTCAGCTCACCATGACATCAAACGTGAGCGGTGGAAACAGCTTATCCCTCTCCCCTGGGCACACATCACTAGGGTTTATCAGGATGGGTGAGACTAACTTTCCTGGACTGTAGAAGGAAAGGGCCTGTTTGTCGCTAGGATGACGAGGCTCAATTGAAAGAGAAGGAACTTAGGCACATGCGTTCCTTGTGATTTTGATTCTGATGCCAGAGGCTGTCAGTTGGGTCCATGAAGCTCCAAGCCCGTGTGTGATTCCTGGGAGCTGGGAGGCTGCTGGGCACTGGACCTGTGTGGGTGAGTCGGGTCAGAGTGCTGAGTACAGAGTTGGCACTTTCACTCCAGCCCCAGGCTATGCTCTGAGGACCCTGCAGCCCAGTGGCACACCCCCACTGTGTGACCAGGAGGAGAGACACAGCCCTGTGCTCCTGCCTGGGCACAAAGGGAGATCTCTTCAGTGTGAGCTGAGAGTGGGTCCTAGGTGACACTAAAGATCCAACCTCCATAGGGGCTTCTCCAAACCCAGATGTCAGGGTGGATCCTGAGCCCAGAGGCCCCTGAGAGCAATAGGCCACCTTCTCTAAGCCACAGCCTATCACCACTCCCTGGAGGATCAATTCATGGACATGCCAGGTGCAGGGAATCAGGGACTGCTGTGCCCCAAACACTGAGGGACACGTGAATGTTTACACTCTTAGTTCTCAGAATTCTCAAGACTGATTGCACCAAAACTGATATTATTAGCATATAGGGAAATTTCCAGAACTTGTATATTTTGTACACTTTTATTCAATTATTACATATTTTACATTTTTCTTAACTCCTTAATTACTTGATTGTTGTTTATATAAAAACTGAATATTTTCTAAAAATATTTTCATTCCATAGGGACACAATACCTTTATTTTATTTATTTATTTTTATGTGGTGCTGAGGATTGAACACAGTGCCTCATGTGGGCAAGGCAAGCCCTCTACCACTGAGCCACAATCCTAGCCCCTAAAACTGAATTTAATACTATTTTAATTAAATAGGTAGGTTAAAATATTACATAATGTAGCATTCCCACAATAAGGGACTTGAACTTTACTGGTGCCAGTGCATTCTTAGCACACACAGCAGTGAGGTATTGGATTTCACAAGCACAGCACACACTGTGCCCATCTCCTGCCCAGTCCTTTTCCACCCCCTTCCTCCCCTGATCCAGCTGCTCTGCCCTCCTGGTCTCCCTCTGTGGTTATTTTACTGTGTGCTTTACCATGATGTGTAAGCGTGACATTCATGTGGCACAAGAATAATGCAGGACATCCACAGAATTATCATGAAGGAGTGGAGGAGCACACCATGGGCCCAAACCAGCAGGACAGGTGAGTAGTGGATGGAAGTGATAAGAAATGCCTGTCCCCTTGATGCTCTGCTAAAGGGTAATAATGCTAACATGTTTCAAGTTCATTACATCATAATGGAAAGGTAAA